TGTAACGCGTGTCTCTGGCGAGAACACGTTCCACAAAAGTTGTTTTATAAACAAAGAGAATTCTTTTGCCTCTCGGGAGGAATTCAATTAGGCATGAACCACAGCCGGCTTCCGGCCAGGCAACGCATAATTACACGGTTCTGTAAGTCCAGTACGCAAACGTGCGATTCCAGATAAGTAATTAAACCAACTACTGGCAAGGAGCGACGATGACTCACGTACCGGTAAATAAGGTGTCAAAGCACCTTTAATCGCTTCGCGTTCTCGTTCTCCTTATCCGTATGTATATCACTTACGCAACGCAATTTCTGTGACAAAGATCGTTGCTTTTTCGAGAAAACAATTAGCGAAATTACACAATCAGGACGCACACTGACAAATGAATTTGCGCACAACGTTTTGATCCTTTACCCTGTTAAAAAGTTTTTCTTCGAATGCCGAAAATAAGGAAGATATATCGTTTCTTTCATTATGAAAATGATTTATTATCGTAATACGTGTGAATTTAATATTATAATATTTCATAACGACACTGACATCCTTACAATATATGTAAACTATTTAAATGATGAATTCAGATTTAAAAATTTTTAAATTTCTTTTTGAGTCTGAAAGTCCCTTAAATCCCTAATCTGTTATAATTTATTATAAATCTAGATCTCAGTTTAGATTCTAATTACCCAAGTTATAAATTTTGCATTTAATATTTAGATATCTAGGGCCTAGATCCAACATATGAAAATGTCTCTCCGTTCCTATCACAAATAGAACAATCGAATTTTTCTGTGACAAAAAAATGACTAACAAAGTCAATTTTACTATAGAAGTCTTCTACTACGTACATATATACATTAAAAGTTTTCTATCGCTGATCGTGACATAATTCGTCCAACTATCCGCTGCTCAAATCGTCGCTTTTATCTATGAGTCAACCGTAGATAAAGAAAAAAGAAAAAAAAAAAAAGTGTCACGCCAACGTATCGACGTTCCCCGCAACTGCAAAAGCGTAAAAAAAAAAAAAAAAATTAACCGAAACTCGTCCAAGAGGTACGTTCCGCGAGGCGAAACGTACCTCTTTAACTATTCAAACAGAACGTTTGAACGTCCCTCGCATAATTTGCACGCGCGTCTTGAGAAAACAAACAGCAAAGAATTGACGTAAAATGGAACAGCTATATCGTTCGCCAATGTGGTAAAAAAATCGTTCTGTTGACGCGAAAACGCTAGACAACATCACGAGGGAAAAGTATTATCATACGAGCTGAACGTGTCGAAATAACCACTCCAATTTCCACAACTGGCTGCACGAACAAAAACCAATTCTTCTGCTGTGCAATTCATCATTTGCTTTTAATTAAAGTCCAATTATTCTCTGTCTGAATGACACGTACGTAGATGAAAGAGATCCTCGGGTTTACTCATCGTTCGATAGAGACCACACTTTAATCTTCATTTGCATATCGTCCATCCTGGTCATTAACGACAACGATACAGTTCCGATGACATCCTGACCCTGATTACTCGATTAAAACCACTTTTACGCGCGCGTACCTCGATAACTGCACGAATTGTTTAAACAAGAGTTCTACGAGATGCGCAACTGAATCATTCGTATAATAATCGTCATATAATAACAATTTATACTAGCTTACGGAAGCATTTGAATGCTGTTATGAATATATTGTACGTGTTCCGCGAAACTTTTTGAAATTTCATTGACACTGCAATAAGTGGGCTGCGGACTTAATTGTGAATTATGGAAATACGCGGAAATGTATAAAATATTGATATAATAAATTGAGAAATAAATAATAAATAATAAATTGAAATATATTGAATAATAAATAATAAACAATAAATAATAAATTGAATATACATTGAATAATAAATAATAAATTGAAATATATTGAATAGTAAATAATAAATAATAAATTAAAATATATTGAATAATAAATAATAAATAATAAATTGAAATATATTGAATAATAAATAATAAATTGAAATATATTGAATAATAAATAATAAATAATAAATTGAAATATAAAATAATGAAAGTAGAGTATTTTTTACAATTATCATCTAGATTTCATTTCTTTGCTAATAAAAATACGAAAATTGCGTAAAAATCCGTCTAGTCAGTAGTAAGACACAACTATTACATATTTATATTACTAAAATTTCCAAAAGTAAAATATAATATACAAGAGTTACAAAGCGTTTATTGCAAATATACACTTAATTAAAAAAGTTAGTATAAAGTATAAATAGTTGCCTCGGAGTGATGGTTTCGTTAAATATTGGGGCATGATGTAATTGGATAATTTATTTAGTTTAGGCAAATAATTTTGTGATTTTCGTAAATATTCTTGTAACTTCTATATATATTTCCGAGTTTGATGACATTTAAAACTTTAACGATCGTGATTACTGTATGATGTCAAAATGCTTTGTATGACACAAACAGTACATTTCATAAAATTGTTTATAATACAATATAATAGAATAATGCATGGTGGATGGCATTGGACGAAGCAAAAACAATATACGATTGATATAGAGAGAAAAACAAACACGTTTGATAACGAGAACATTCGAAAGTAATGGAAAAGTTCTTGTCGATGAATGGAAAAATTACCGCTCGCTTCAACAGATTTTTTTGACAAATATAAAATTGAAAATGATGGAAAGTTCTCCTTCTTGAAAGAATGAAAACAAAAGAATTTGATATTCCTGACTGAATAGAGAGCACAATGGTCTGTGGTAATTCTATAGCCTTTATGGTAATTCTAACATCGAAAGTTTGCCATTTGCGAACTTATACTTTCCTCATCTTAAATAATCTTTTTCTTCACACAACAGCTATAATTGCTCAGAATTCTCGCTTCGTATAGGAAAGTAAATTCTTGGAATGTTTCAAACAATAAAGAATTGAACGAGTTGTGTCATTCTTGTGGCTCTCAAAGTCTCAGAGGAGCCTTGGCATTATTTAAATATTTAAAATTTATATAAATTAAATAACATCATTCTGTTCGATTGGCTATCAATTTAAAATAATCATTGCGCGTTGATTTATTTATTTTATTTATAAACAAGTGATAAAAATTATCTCCAAGTTATTTAACTTCAACTAAAAATTCGAATTATCTGACATTTATTTGAAAGCATTGACATATAATCACAATAGTAATCAAATAATCAAGATTTAGAAGTGATTATCGCAAATTGCATTTAATTTGTTTCAAATAAAAGATTCCACCGATCCTAAAACCTCATTTCAATCAACTAAACTGTATTAAAGATTATATGTAACGTACCAATCTAAGAAAAATCAATAGAGAAACATGGGAATTTCCTCGTGTGGTATATCAATCTAATCGAGATATATTGGATGTAACATCTGATTCATTAAATTCATAAATCGACAATTTGCTGTGATGAAACACAGCAACAGTGCACGATGCTTCCCTCTCGTTCTCATGCACGAGAGGGTCAATACTACGATTACGATCAACGTAATTGGCATGCACACTAAACGCATTAAGTGACATACTTAAAAATAATAAAAATACGAAACAAAATTCTGCACGCGAAAGCAAATTTCGTCAGATAACATATCACCGTACCGTAATCTGGTTGCAATAACATTACGGATTACGCGTTGTCTACGAAAGCTTGGGAAAAATCATGGAAAACAGAAATTTTTATCGCGCTTATACGAAATTCCTCGTTAGAAAACTTATATATCCGCGAACATTCCACAAATTGTGTATCGAGTCGGATATACGAATGAACGCGAATGACTGAAATCGAACGAGTTGATTGGAAAGATTGAAAATTTTTCTTTTCTTCGAATTTCATCGCAGAAACGATTCTCGCGATCGAACGAATCCGTTCGAGTAAACTTTCGCGCAACATATCGTTCACGATCGAGACCGTTTAAACTTACTCGACAACGGAACAATCGCATTACTAGGAGAAACGAACAGTCAGAAGTGAAGTTTCGACACTTTCCAACCAAGTAGAATCAGATTTCCAGCCGTTGGTTCGACACGTAACTACTCGATATTTCTGGTGATTGAGCGACGTAGGGTTTCATCGTGTTATACCCACGAAATCATTAGAAGTGGATCGAGCATACAGATTTCATCGTTCAGAACTATCGACGGACCTCACAATTTCTTTGTTTTTGCAATTAGTAAAAGTACTTTTTCAACGAGACTTTTCATCGGAATGGAAATAAAAATTTATGTACCGCGGGTCGTGGAGACTCTGGCTCGTCGAGGCTGCGAGCGATTTGCATTACAATAGAAATTTCAAATTGATGACGTCATTATTGAAACTAATTAGCATGTGCGTTAAAATCAATTGTTCGAAGTTATTTGACATCGATACGAATTTTGAAAGGCGTGTCGCGAAAGGATATAAATTATTATCACAGTTGACAATTGCAAAACCGTGGTAAGAATATTTCTTTGACTCTGTCGCTATTTTATTGCTCTCTTGTCATCGATTTTGACACTAGAATTACAATTGATTAGAATATTCACCAATATTCTACACTCTAAATATTTATTATCTACTCCTTCTTGTTGCAAATAGTTCTCAATTCACATGATCAAACGTTCGAAAAATTTCACTCAAACAAGTCGCTCTTTACGATTCAAAAATTTTCCGATTCGGCGGGCAAGAAAAATTACAGCAGCACTGTGTCGAACCCCACGGCTGAAAGCCGACTCTACTCGATTTCCTCTGGAAACAAACACGCGCACGCGAAAGAGAACGAAACGAGAAAATCGTCGCAGAAACGAATAACAACGAAGAAATGGGGGAGGGGTGGAAATGAAGAGAAAACGCTGTTGCAGAAAAAACTGTGACGAGAAAAATGAAGAGAAAAGAAAAACAGAGAAGAGGAGAAGAAAACAACAAAGGAGAAACTACGAGAAAGAAAAGAAAACGGAGGAGGCAAACGGATGATGAATTTGTTGCCAGTCGGTTTTTACCTGCTGCACGTACCACTGCGTGGAATTCTGGTTCTTCCTGTGGCTGCTGGGCTTGCAGGGGGCGCAGAGCAGCAGGGGCGCCAGTTTGTTCACCCCCTTGACGCTGGCCGACGCCGGGGGCGACGTTGGGCTCAGCCCGTCATCCCCCAACACGGGCCACAGCATCCACGTGTGAATGTCCGCGGAACTTCCCCTTCTTCTGTCACTTCGATTCTGCCTGTGCAATTTGTCTCGTGATTCATCTGACCAAGTTCAACATTCACCGAGCGTCTCACGATTCTTTTTCTTTTTTTTTTTTTTTTTTAGTTTTCGGTCAAGTCTCTCGGCTTGCGAGGATTTCGCGGCAGGTGGGCAGGTCGCAAGTTGCACTTTCGTTGTTTCGCGAATTCTTGGAATTTCGAACGGTGAGAAACTTTTTCACTTCGGAATTTATATATATAGAATTTCGACCGTTCGACGTAGAAGAGAATTATTTGCTTGTACTTGATGGCACACGTTGTACAACGTCGGGGGCACTTTTGAATCAATGAATTATCGATTGGATAAGGATATATCGATCAATGTTTAAAATATTCGCTCGATTCCGATCGATGAATATAATTGTCCAAGACGGACAACTAATTCTCAATTTACTTTTATATGTTTTAAAACAAAATTTTTTCAAAAGAAAATGCGATCGCATGTGACAACTGCTGAAACAAAGAAATATTCCGCGATTCGAAAAGAATTCTATTATTAAAAGTTAAAAAGTCACTGTTCGAACAAAGTTTCTTCAGAGTTTTCTCTTTTCTTCATTTTCGATTAAATCCTCTTTGAGACACTCCTTTTATAGAACGTTAAATTGAAGAAATAAGCACGGAGGAGATCGAACGCACGGTGTGTCCTCTCTTAGGAACTCGCGACGCGACACAATTCACAGCTCTTTCCCCGATTCGTCGTCGCTCGAAAACTGATCGATAGCCAGCCGCGATACGTTGTTCGAACTTGCTCGCGACGCTATTGCCGACGAGCAACTGAATCATCGTCGATTCAAGCTGGTTTAACGTTACAATTCCCACCAGCCGCCGTCGTGAATGACGCCGCAGCAACAACTGTGCGTCACTCATTACCGAAATCGAATCGTAATGTTAAAAAAGTACAACTTGCGATCGTCGATTTGCGAAAGGCTAAATGAAAATAACCTCTCTTATCTGTCTGTACGTCCATGAGAATTTAGTTTCCGAGACGCGACATCGAGTCTGCGGTCTCGTTCGATCGAGCTGCTCCGTTCTCGAGATTCTCGTTATCGAGCAATTAAAAATGTATACGTGAACGCATTGTAAGAAAATTCAAAGAGTTCTTTCAGTTTTATAAAAAATCGATGACGCTGTCGTGTGATCGACAATGTACAGGGTGTCCCAGTATATCAATGATACGACCGAGCTCCATTTTTTCAGAATCATCTCGCAGCCTGTTGTATCATTAATACTGAGACATTCTGTAGAGAGTAATGAACAAAAATATTGGCACAGATTTCCATCCCAAAATCTTGTACGAATTTTGTAAAATAATTTTCGAGATTAAATTTACCTCAATTAATGCAAAATCGATGAACTATCAATCTAGAGGCAATATGAAGAGAGATAAACAAAACGGAAACTTTGATATCTCAGACAAAATTTTTTTTTTTACAAATTTACACACGAATTTACGAAATATAATAAACTGATCTATGCTGACATCTATGCCTGTCTATAGTCATACATCTAATTGTAGGCGTGATTCTGAGAGATACTTCGATAAAAAATTGAAATCCAGATTATCTAATCTGTTCTACGAATAATATTAATAAAATCAAATAACCCACGGATATGCATTATTTAAATTGCAACGAATCTTCAAAAATCTCCTACGCTTTCTAATACCACTCGATAGCCGATAAACTTGAATTTTGAAATTGAAGATCTTCCTAGTCCAAACTCGAGTTTAAACTCAAAAAAATTATCGAAACGAAGAGCGCATGTACTCTAAGAGAATTTGTTCGATATGCGTTTCTATTTCAACAGGTAAGTTCAATTTTCATCTAGTTTGATGCTTATCGAGTACGCGATTCGCGTTCGATAAAAAAAAAGCCTGTTCTCGGCTACGTTAACAATCGTTTTGCCTACGCGGATCGATTGTTTTTCCTTGAGGGAAAGATCAAACGGGTAGTTTCATAAGCATCGATCGATCCTGCGATGGCTGAATGCTCGATGTTCAAAGGTCGAGGGAACAGACGACGGAAAACATTTTCGCTAAAGAGGATGTCGCTGCCGCGTGGGCGGGATTACGCTTCCTGTTGCTGGAAACCGCGCGCGTGTTTTCTGAACGCCCGGCAACCCCGTGACTTTTCACATTTTAAATAGCCCGGTGAACAACAAAGACGAGGAAAAAACAAAGTAACGTCCTCCGACTGTCTGCACGACTCTTTTCCATACAATTTTCATTTTATTAACTGAGAAACTGCTTATTCGCGACATGACGCGTTGTCAATACTCATCTTGGAAATTATGTATCTATGCTTCTTGAATTTTATTAATTTTTTTCGTGTTTCACCATTTTTCATTTTAAATATTAAATTGCAATCAACACATTGAGGATTGAGTTCATCGTAATTTCAACAGAAAATATTAATCACGAAGTAACGTATATTACGAAAAATTAAACTCTGCAAAATCAAACGAAGATAGAAAATCACTTGACTCGTGCGTGAGAAGAGCTTGAGAACCGTATTTTTTTTTTTTTTTTTTTTTTTTTTTTTTCTCTCAGTTTATCAAATTAATTTACGACGCATGACCGTCAAAGTCCATTCTGTGTGTGTCTAGAATTTCCCACGTGCCGATTCGTTACGCAGCAGTAATACACTATCGTAGCTCCAATGATAAAACAATATGCACGGACGCAACAAAACTGTGTACAGCCGACGCAAATGTAAAACAAAACTCGGATCGAAGAGTGAAAAAACGAAGTCAGTAACAAAGAGCGAAGAGGCGACACTCGGAGAGAAGAAACGAAGAAAATCGACATCGCCGTCGTCTTCGATTGTTCAACACGAGTGAGACGTCGGACGAGAACGATTGACGGAGAGTAAAGAGAACGAGCGGTGACTCGATGAAAACGATCCTAGAAAACGTGGAAAAAAGATTAAGCGGAATCCTCGATAAAAGTGTCGATGCCCGTCGACGCCTCGTTCCGATAAAATTGAACGCCCCGTCACCGCTTGCCACGAGAAACGGCACGATCGCACGTCATGATCTCAACCCCTCGCCTCCTCGTTATTTCTCGTACGCTCGTACCTGCGAATTGAATTAACGAGTTCACCACGAGACCAGCCGTGACTCGAAAAGAAGAAAAAAAAAAAAAAAAAACAGCGCCTCGTAACCGATCCAAGGGAACTTTACGTTCGTAAACTTGAAACCGAGACGTGACTGAAGGAACTTGTACGATAACTTGCTGTAGGAAACGTGAGTTGAAAAACGCGCACCGTGCCGAGACAACAGTTGTTTTACAAGCGTTCTCAATTGGATGGAATGAACAAAAAGCTATAAGGTTTTTCCACTATTCGATTTTGCTTTTTAGCTTGTCTTTCTTACAAGTAATTGTGAGATTTTTTTTCTTTTGATTGAAAAGCAATTTGATTCTTTTTTTTTTGTCGCTTTGATAATCTTACATCATTTTCTTGTCTCTGTAATGAAATATTGTAGGAGAAGAAAATATGAATATATCTTCGATTCTCAGAGTATCGATTTTACTTTTAGTTTGTCTTTCTTGCAAGTAATCATGAGATTTTTTTTTTTTAATTGAAAAGCAATTTGATTCTTTTCTTTTTCGCTTCAATAATCTTACGTATATTTTTATTAATTTTCACACTCATCATTTTCTTGTCTCTGTAATGAAATATTGTAGGAGAAGAAAATATGAGTACACCTTCGATTCTCTGATTATTGATTTTACTTTTAGCTTGTCTTTCTTGCAAGTAATCGTAAAATTTTTTTTTATTGAAAAGCAATTTGATTCATTATTTTTTCGCTTCGATAATTTTACGTATATTTTCATTAATTTTCACACTCATAATTTTCTTGTCTCTGTAATGAAATATTGTAGGAGAAGAAAATATGAGTACACCTTCGATTCTCTGATTATCGATTTTACCTTTAGCTTGTCTTTCTTGCAAGTAATCGTGAGATTTTTTTTTATTGAAAAGCAATTTGATTCGTTTCTTTTTCGTTTCAATAATCTTAAGTATATTTTCATTAATTTTCACACTCATCATTTTCTTGTCTCTGTAATGAAATATTGTAGGAGAAGAAAATATAAGTACACCTTCGATTCTCTAATTATCGATTTTACTTTTAGCTTGTCTTTTTTGCAAGTAATCGTAAGATTTTTTTGATTGAAAAGCAATTTGATTCTTTTCTTTTTCGCGTTGATAATCTTACGTACATTTTTATTAATTTTCACACTCATTATTTTCTTGTCTCTGTAATGAAATATTGTAGAAAGGAGAAGAAAATATGAGTACACCTTCGATTCTCTGATTATCGATTTTACACACCAAAGGGATAAAATTTCATTTCAGCTACGTTGCAATTAAGTCAATTAAAATCATTTCGAACATTTCTAAAACAAATGTTTGCCATTACTGGAGTAAAAGGAAATTGGAAGACTGATTTGTGGAAATTGGGAATTCGATATAAATTATTGCAGACACGTACAACACGCCAATATGTATATTATATATTTCATCTGAAATCTGGAGCGAAGATCAGGCACGCGGAGTGCATTATGCAATGTGGCCATTGTCCGTAAAGGGAGCTGCTAGCAGGGACCATTCGCTAGCAGGAAGTGTGCTTTAAGCTGCAGCGCGTTTCATGCGAGCATGAATCATTTGGCGGCTCAAATGACTCGGCTGTTACGTTATTTTCTTATTTAACACTGAATGCCTTTACGAGCCATTCGAGAACTCTGAGTCGAATACATTTTTGTAATTTGTTCTCTGACGCTAAAAAATGTTTTTCAGCTCTTTTCAAAAGTTGTCATTTAACGGTTAGGAGCTATAAATAAGGAATTTTGGAAGTCTGCAAATGGTTTTCAAAAAACCGTTTTTCAAAAATTGTCATTTAACGGTTAAGAGCTATAAATAGGGAATTTTTCGAAGATTGTCATTTACGATTCAGAACTATAAACGGGAAATAAATA